TAGCGTATGGTTTCAATCTCAAGAATATTCGTATTGATTCGCAATCGACTAACTGTTGTGGAAACAGAATAGAATGGAAGTCTCGAGAACAATTGGCTTCGACTGTTCTGTTCGGTTTTCTTTTTTTTCTGCGAAGAATTACTTGACCTTTCCTCGAATATGCAAATTTTCTTTTATAAGCATTGTCTTGCTTAGTCATGCACGTGGATTTTTCAATACAGTCGATCTGTTTGCAATATTCAAATCATAATTTTCAATAATCACACTAAATACACTGAATACAAGTGTGTTGACTGATCTTAGGTGAACTTCGGCTTCTTTGATAATTAATCATATTGGGATCTTTGAATTTTCATGTTTCAATCTTTTCTCTATTTTCGACAAATATTAGTTGGGAAAGTCTGAAATCCTGGGATTGAAATTTCCGATTCTTCTTCTTGAAATTCTCTGATAGATTAAGTATAATTAGAATCCTTTATTCTTCATCTTATCGACGATTTCTAAGAATTCTTTGCCAAGTAAAAAGAAAAGCATAAATCGACAAGTTGCAAGTTTACGATCTTCCTCGTAATAAATATATAAAACATACAAAGTATCCAAAGTATGCCACTCTTATAATATAAAGTATTTATTCTTCTCTCCTTAGTTCTATTTTTCTTAATAGTCTGTTCACAAGAACATATTTGCTCACGAATGTATGGCGTAATTTTAGGGCCACTTGCATCCACTGTTAAACGAAAATATCTTCTTAAAAGCGGAGATTAGGCCTGCTAAAAGCATCATCGCGTCTCTAAATGGATTAATAAAATTCTGTTTACACGGACTGTGCTGAATCAACGCTTCCTCCACATTGTCGGCTGGTTCACTTCGATCTATTTTGCTCCTGCGATTTACTAAATGCAATCATACGAATTCATCGGCTGACTTGCGTCCACTGTTAAACGAAAATATCTTCTTAAAAGCGGAGATTAGACCTGTTTAAAGCCTATCACCGCGTCTCTAAATGGATTAATAAAATTCTGTTTACACGGACTGTGCTGAATCAACGCTTCCTCCACGTTGTCCGGCTGGCTGGTTCACTTCGATCTATTTTGCTCCTGCGATTTATTAAATGCAATCATACGAATTCATCGGCTGACAGGCTTAACCCTAATACGAGCCGCATATCGTTCAGGGACTAGCTCGGGAAGCCTCCTATCGACGGACAATAATTTCTTTGTCGTTCACTCCGCTCATCGTTAATTATAACCACGCGTCATCGTGTTATTCGCGGACGCTACCGATCGAGCTGTTCTCCTCATCTTGAAGTGATTAATTCAATTACCACGAAAATTAATTGTACTGTCTTCTTTTTCCTTCATTTAGAAACTGTTAGGACTGTTATAATTTTTCTGGCATTCAGAATCTATTGGAGATGTAGAGTTATAAGTGGTATTACATGTTCTTCTTTTTGTTCTAATTTTGAATTGAACTTGCAGCCTTTTTAAACTTGGGTATTAGGTGTTAAAGGAGCGATTCGTCACAAAGGAATTGAAGTAGCGCAACTTTAGAAACTTTAGGAAAGACAGAATTCGTGTATATGTCAGTACGCACGCATGTCTAATAGTAAGTTGCGGGTGGGTAACGAAATAACATTGGCTTTTGGCAATAGTCGTGTAACGATGTTGTACTTCCGACGATTGTTTCCATATGTTCTCTGTTAGAACAAAAATATCCTTCTCTAAATATTAGGAATTCTCTAATGTAGCACTTTTCAAAGTCGTCGGTATGATTTAAGAACACTTGAAGGCCATTTTTCTCACTGTCGCTTTTGAAATAAGATAATTTGAAGATCATGAATGTTATAAACGTATTATTAGCGTGTAAAATTTTTTGAGAATTATATACATATTATTGTCATCTGATTATGACTTTAAAAGGTTCAAGAGGTCATCCTCATTGTTATAAAAATTAAAACTAATCACCACATCTTTCAGACTTTTCTTTTGCTTCACTTGTCTGTTGAGATGTTAATAGTAATACTACTCACGCGAATGAATCAATGGTAGTTAAACAGAATTAATCTATTAATCTGTTAAGAACAGAATTAATGAAATTCCAAGATAATGGATACGTGTTCCTTTTCTCGGGAGAAGAGTTGTTAGATTATTTCCTTCGTGAAAAAGACAATTTCAACCGAGTGGTAGTGTTATCGTTTCCAAGCTTCGTATGTAGTGACTTTGAATGAAGTAACATGGCGGCGATAACGCGAAATCTACTCAGCCAAATTTGATTAATGCTTGTACATTTTCGTTAGCTGATAAACAGTGACTCGGCGTGTTGTTAACGGGAACGATTGAAATAGTTACGCGTGAGTGGTCAGAAAGCCGGAGGAATGTGCAGACACGGTGAATCTATAAACACTACAGAAAATAAATCTTCCCGCTCTCGAGATAATGTAGGAAGATGGAGGAAGGTTTCGTAGTTCTTCGCGTAGCAATTCGGATCTCTGATCCGATTTGTCCGTTTTATTTGATTCCTTGCTCGGGCAACAGAGAAACCCGAGGAAAATAGCATTTCCCGCGAGTTGCGCGCCGGAAATAAATTAACTATCGAAGGACAGAAGCGGCGAAGGAAATATCGTCGTGCAAGATGGGAACTGGGTCATTTATAATCCACGTATTTTGGATTATTTATAATTATATATAATATTATTATATATAATATAATTATATAATAATTATTATATAATATATATTATATATATGTATATGTATTATATTATATATATGTATCAATTAATATATATATAATATATTATATAATATATTATATAATATATAATATATAATATATAATATATAATATAATATAATATATAATAATATATAATATATAATATATAATATATAATATATAATATATAATATGTAATATATAATATATAATATATAATATATTATTATATATAATATAATATAATTATATATAATATAATATAATTATATATAATAATGGATTATTTATATATAATTATTTATATTTATAATCCACGTATTTTGAATTACACTTTGTGCGTATAGGATTTCGAAAATCAACAGTGCGCCAACTAGTTTCGTCGTATCCGGAATAATTTGTTATATTTTATTCGACGCCAGGCGGATGTCCCTTTTTCTTCCTTCTTTTCAGATCTCTCCGTTGTAACCGGAATTCCACCGTGCACTGGTTTATAAACTGTGTACCGTAAATCGTGGTGCAAGTGTGGTGGGATAGAGATTCTATGGCCGAAAATAAGACAAAAGTCAAGAATAACAGAATTGGACGCGTCTTCTTTTTTTTTTGGAAAAGAGAGCGTTTAAAAGTCAAGCTAGTACACATGTACTCGATTGATGAAAATTTCACTGTTAGAAACTCGATTGTAAGTTGCTGTTGATTGTAAATTATTATTACGATCTTGTCTAGAATTTATTGTCAACACATTTGTCTTTAAAATTTAGAAATGAATATTATTATTTTTTTAAATATTGTCGTACTTGAGACGTAGCGTCATAATTATATCAATAATCAACAATTGATAGAAAATAAGCTTTGATACCATGCGGTGTAAATAAATACAGTAGTAATACTAGTTTACCAGCCAGATCTTTTCTTTTTATTCCTTGTTTTTTTCAAGAAAGAATTCTATTTCTAAACACGAGATTGCAAAAAGTAAGATTTGCTAAGAAACTTCAAAGAATTGAGGTTCATTTTAATGAATTTTATCACTTTTGCGTTCACAAGAAGAAAGTTGAAACTCTGTATCTTATTCTTAGATATCGGTTTTAATTCTGAATTCCTGCTCCAATACCGACGGCTTATTCTCGAACAGTTTTAAATATAACATCCATTCTAACTCTACTTATCGATTTAAAAGCCTTCAGCGGAATTTCGTAAATTCTTGATTTTTGTCTCGTATCTTGTATCATTTGCATCTGGCTACAATAAAACTCGGAGAAAACGATAATGGAAGAAACAACATCTGAATAAAATCAGAGTGAAAATATCATATACTTTATATTTGTATAAGATATTTATAAAATGTTGTATACTTTTATGATATTTTAGTATAGGGGATTCATAGAAGGAAAAACAATTATTATATTCAATGTATGGAAAATTCAAATGACAAGTGGAACTCATCTG